AAAACCAGGAACCCGTGTGTCCCAAATACCAGCCTGTGAGCACAATGTTCCCCTCTCGATGTTTAGCACTTTGACAAAGGAGCAAAGAGAAATTCCCACGTCTTCCACACAGTTTTCTCTGTGTGAACACAGACAGTGGTTCTTGTACCCAGTTTGTAGGAGCTGGGATTGGACTCCACCACAGCAGCCTCTGTGTGGGATAGATGCAGTGCTCTGTAGTATAAAGCACTCTGTCAGTGAGCTGGACTCTCCAAACCAGCAGTCATCGTCTAACATCTGCCTTCTTCAGCTGTAACCGTGTGTCTCTTGTACTTGCTCTGATCATATGTGCTGTAATATTCCAGCTTTGCTTCCCGATCGTGCTGCACAGTCTGCACATGCTGGCCGGCTCCCCCAAGCTGAGAGCAGTGGGACTGCGCCTCATGACCGCTCTGTGGAAAAAACAGGTTTGCAATAATAACGCATTACTATAAATGTCATATTCATGTGTTCAAAGCTTCTGTTTGTCTTTGATTGTGTGCTGCTTTGGTCATGTCTGTAAGGACCGGGTCTACCCAGAGCTGCAGCGTCTAATGAGCCAGCAGGACAGCAGGGTGGTGCTGGGGAGGGACGCCCAGTGGGAGCAGATCCTGGCCAGGGCCGCCTGTGTCAGGGACATCTGCAGAGAGAGGTGGGTCCTCCCATACTTACAGAAACAGTGGGCACTTCCTACATTCACTGGTTCATTCATTCAGTGGACTTTGCATGCACAGTGCAGACAGTGTGAGCTTCCAACACCAGGATTCTTCATCTTCCCTTCTAATGAGTAATAATCACTGACTGGACTCTTCATAGATGTTTCTGCTCAGCAAGCTGATGAAAGTTCAGAAACATAGAAATATTTGTTTTTTCAGTCACATCAACTTTGCTTGTTAAGATAAATGAATGCACTTTGTAGCTTTGCAGTGAATGAAGCCTCAGCTCGACGCTCCACTGAGTCCCTGTTTCTCCAAAAATCAGCAGGAGTCCAGTTTTAAATGTTTCCGTACAAATGTCCAGAGCAGCTACACGTGCCTGAATCCAGAAGGATCAAAGTCTTACAAAGTTCAGTTCAAACAGAGAGACTGAGAGGCAGCTAACTTCCTGTCTCTGCCAGACTATCAAAATAAAAGCATACATTTGAAGCAAAAGAAATCAAACTATGTCAGTCTGTAAGCACTGCTTCCCATATAATACAACTCTAAGCAAGTGAGCCATAACTTTATACTTTTAACCTTTAACCCAAAAACTATGTTGATCATATAAACTCCACAAACTGCATCCAGGCTCCTGCACACGTCCTTTACATGTTAGCTGCTAGCTAATGCTTGTCAGTTTTTGTGAACTGGCCTTTATGTGTGTTGATGAAATAAAACGATGATTTTATTTGATTATTTCCTTTGTTCTAACCAGCTGGTGCACACTGTCCATCCTCCCGGGGCCTGTTACACCTGCTAACATGTACATGCAGCTTTTTTAGCAGCATTAGTGAAAACCTGGGAAACCCTCTGGATGGATGCTACAGTACAAATTTAGCAAATCATTGAGCTGTTTTGTTGTTTTCACAAATGCTTACGTTTGCTTTTATTGTAAAACATTTGCAGCCATAAGAGTTTGCAATGATAAGAAGCTGTGTTTGGCATTTACTTACTTACACGTGTCCTGGCACTTTTAATGCTTTTTTCTTAAATAAAAATGGTAACAAAATTAGAAGAAACACATTTCCCACTTTGTTCACGCTGATGTGTGTGTTAACCAGGCCTTACCAGCATGCAGGGGACATGGTGGCTGCCATTTCACTCACTTTAAAACAGTGCAACAGACCAGACCTGGCAACCCCGGCTGCTCTCGTCCTGCAGGGACTACAGCAGCTGTGTCGAGCAGAGGTACCTCGCCTGTCTCCATTTGTCTCTTTAAATTCAGGAATCATCATTTTTCTGGATTATAACTTTTGAATCTTTTCCAAAGTTCTGGTCTTAAAACCAATCTTTCTTTCTCAGGTGGTGGATATTATCTCAGCATGGAGAACTGTTTGGCCTGAGCTCAGCTGTCACTCACAGCCAGAGGTGGTTCAAGCCATCGCTGAGCTTTTGGCTCTGGTGCCTCAGCTCACAGTTAAATCAGAGCAGTACGAGGTGCGTCGTAACGTTCATGTTGCTCTGTGTTGAGGAGCTAACAGAGCGACACAGGAACTCCACCAGGTTGTGTTTTTCTCTGTGGTTCTGTCTGTAAACAGGACTCTCACCAGCTGTTTGTATAACCTCACTGTAGAGTCACATCTCTACATCACTGTGTTTGGTAGCTAAAGTTAGCACATCAATGTAAAGCTGGGTAGAAGCACAAAGTACAGACGTGTGAGGGTCCAGTCCTCAGAGTGCTGCTGTGGTCGGACTTCACAGTAACTAATAAATGGATCAGCGAGTGTGAGCATCTTTTTAAAAACAGAAGTTTTGGTCATTTGTTGCTCTGGAGGATTCAACACAGTGCAGCAGTGGCCGTCCCAGCAGATGAGTCCTAGACCATGCAGTGCTGCTTGTTGGAAAGCTTTCCTCCTCTCTAACAATGATATGGCAGTACAGCTTAGGTTTGCAAAGTTGCATCTAAACAAACACAAGACCAAAGGCCAAAACCAAACATACATATTAGCACAGGACGGCTGATAGGGATGCTTTTGGGTTGCAGCCACAGGACCTGCGCAGCACCTTGCAGTCACTGAGTCAGACACAAACTTCTCTGCTGTGTGAACTTAAGCTTAGTGAAAATCGGTTAATGCAAAATGCCAAAGATCCAGAGCACAGCAGCAACTCTTTCATATACATGAAAGCCTAAATCTCTCACAAGGAGCAGGAAACGCTGTCCCCAGTGTCTGACAGGCTGCTGCTCTGTCTTTGTCAGCTGGTTCCACACATGCAGGTAACAAGCTGAAGTTATGTTAGGTAACTGTACAAAGACACGGCCGACATGTTTCCACTCTGTATGTTACAGCCCACCATCCTTTAAATGTGTCTCTCTTATTTGCATACGCTCAGATTGACAGGAAGTGACTAACACAGAGAGCAGGATGCAGCTATGTCAGCCTCTCCTCTCTGTCCTGCAGGTGGACAGCGTGGAGGCAGTCCTGGAGCTGTGTGCATTTGTGGGCGCTCTGCTCCAAGATCTAACTGGGACCTCTGGAGACCAGTGGAAACCAGAGAAAGCGGCGCTGGCTCTGCAGCTGCTGTGTGCGTGTCGGCGATGCCTCGAGTTCAACGGAGACTGCAGACCAATAATCGGCTTAATACAGCAGCTGGTTCCAGCCTGTCAGGTGATGGCTGTTTGTAAACAGACACCAGCAAAGATAAAGAAGCCGCGCTGCTGTGCTGGTTAACGTGAGCGAGCCTAAATATAAGCAAACAAAAGGGATGCTTTTTGTTTTACGTGTGCAAATGTCTCTGCTCCAAACCTGAGCCTGGACGCCCAGCAGTGGCTTATTTGGCATTAATGCTTATCAGCTTCTTCACTCACTGCAGCGAGCTGACGTGGACATGCACACGTGTGAATATCTGACACTCAAAGACACTTTGTAGAAATGTAGCATTGTTTGGTTCAGTGTTCTCAGCCTTGTTGCTACCAGGGAGAGCACACCTGAGTTTGAGGCCTGAACAGGTGTGAAACCTTTGGTCCTCCACGATGGCTGACAATCAAAGCGGGTCTCACTTTAGCGCGCTCACACTGCCCGTCTCTCTGTGGACCTGGCCTTCTTTCTGTCACATAATGGTATGATCCCAGACACTCTGCGTGTGATTGGCTGCATGGTGTGCCCATTAAAATACAGTCCCGCCCCTCCTACATGGCTTCTCAGCAGGTTGAAGATTCGGCTCCTACGTACTGTTAATAACCGACACGTGAATGATCTCTGATAGAAGTATATGTGACCTGTACCCTGCACTACAGTCTCTGCTCATTTTGGGTTTGTTTACACTAACTCGTGTGATGAAGTCAGGCTGTGCACCCTCAGGCTACAGTCACATGAAAGAAAGCTGTTGGAGACGCTGCGTGACCAGAATTAGTGTGAAAAATTAGTTTAGACTGAATCTCACTGAAGCCATCAGAACTATGAACACGTGTGGAAGGAAGTAACTCAGCACATGTTTTAGATTCGTCACCCTTTGCTTTGATCGCTGCTCTGATCCTCTGGATGAGCTCCA